ACACACACACACACACACACACACACACACACACACACACACACACACACACACACACACACACACACACACACACACACACGATGAAAGATGCAGGTGGGGCTGGTTGGGAAAAAGAAAGGAATTAGGCAGAATGGGAAGAGGACCACTGACGGAAAAGGGTGGTGATGTGTATGATCAAAATACATTATGGACAATGTATGAAAACGTCAACTTGAAAACCATTATTATGTATAATCAGTATCTGCTAATGAACGTTAAAAATATGCCATAACGAAACATAATAGTCTGTATGTTAATACTTAAAAAATAAAAATGTTAAGATAAAAAAGACGCCTGAAATTACAGCCAGTTTCACAACTGCCACCACGTGGGGGAGCTATTCGCCTAGTTTTCGTCGCCCTTAGGAAAGATGCCCTTCTGTCCACCCCTGCTGGGCACCGCTACCTAGTCTCGCCCATAGATAGAAGGTCCTGGCCTCTCGTTGGCCACGCCCAGGAAGCAGTGCGCAGTCCTCTAGTCCCGCCCCTATATGGAAGGAAGCTGACCACGCCCTGAAGGCGGTGTGAAGCCCTTTAGCCCCTCCCCCACATAGAAGGGCGCTAGCCACGCCCCAGAGGCAGAGCAGCTGCCTTCTTGGCCGCTTAGTCACGTCCTTACCTGGAAAGGCGCAGGCCTCGGTCCCGCCCCCGGAGGCCACGCGCTGACAGGCAAGTTCTCCAAGCCGCGAGCTACATCCAGTTGCTCTGTGGGGATCGCAGGCGCCTCCTTACACGCTGTCTTTCCCAAAGACCGCTTCATAGCTTCCGCAGACATTAACGGGCCTCCCTCCACCTACTAGCCTGACACTCTTGGGCCTCCCAGAGGATACTGGGAATTGTGGAGTCCGGGGACCCCATCGCCTCATGGGAGTTGTAGTTTTTTTTTCCTCACGTGTGGCGGACGAGGTAGAGTCCTGCCTCAGCATTTAGATACTTTTGGTCTGACTCCCACTGTTTTGAGCCAGATGCTTAGCTGACAATTACCGAGCCATTAAAGGTACAACAAAACTTTGGAAGTTTTAAAATGTTTTTAATTTTTCTGGGGAATCGGGGACAGCCCCTGCAGCGAGTTTGTTTGTCAGGTTTTGCGGGGCTTAGTAGATGTTTGGAGATGAACCCTCTAAACTGAGAGAACGGTGCAGGGTTTCTAGAGACCTAGAACCTGTGGAGAAGTTGGATAGTAGGTGATAGGATCAGGCCTTTGGGACGCCTCTCACCACACCGTGAAAAAAAAAAAAAAAAAAAAGCCAGTCTTGAGTAAAGTTTCTTGGTTCTGCTTATCTTGCTGCTTTTCTTTGAAATTTCTTTCCTCACTACTTTCTGTGTTAACACTGTACCAAATGGGATTGATTTGTTTTACTAACTGAAAGGTTTGGGGTAAGGGTGTTCAAGGGAATACTGAGAAGGATTGCCTTTTTTTTACTACGATTTAGTAGAGGAGATATTAATGCCACATAGAGGCAGGCAGACCGCAGCATGGGGGCGGAGCTCAGGTCCACGTGGCAGAGTGGGAGTTCCTTCTTCCAGGTTTCAGAGCAAGGGGTGGTTTGCCATGAGCCATGCCAGAGCATGGCTTTGCCATGAAGTTGTTGGGTAGCCCATACATATAGGAGCTTGCAGTCAGGCAGTCTCAGAATTAGCTATGAGAGTGAGGAGGGCAATAATCTAGAAAAACAAGTTAGTTTTGGTGTGAGAAACATTAAATATTGCTCTTTTCTTTCAAACCCTGTAAAACTTGGTTTATGACAAGGAGTTCTAACCTTTTAATACCACCACACCATGTAAGGTTTAAGGAAAGAACCTAATGCATTGTCAAACCCAATGGCCTGGGGCAGTGGAGCGCTTCCCTGTTCCTTTCTGACAGTCCTTTAAAAATAGCCAATTTGGAAAGACTGTGAGGTTCATCCCCAGCCATTTGGGAAAATTATGCAGAACTGTTGTGTTAGAAATAAAAACTCATCAAACTTCTAGGTCCTGTGTGCTTGCTGGACATGATTGACCATACAGCGTACCCTTTTGCAAAAGTAAAATCTGCATGGCTGAGTTACTTTTGCTTTGTCCACATATTTTTGTGGTATTGGTGGGGTCCTTGAACCTCAGATTTTATTTCTAACACTGGTAACTAAATTTCTGTACGTAAGCACAAATTCACTAAAATGGAGAAGCTTTACAAATGGCCCTAGTCCTTTGTTTTTTCTTTTTTGAGACAGAGTCTTACTATGTAGCCCAGACTGGCTTTCAACACTTCATCCTCCTGAATGTTAGGACAACTTGCATGGCCCATTGTGTGTAAAGATCTTAATTGGATTTATTTCCAATGCTAGAGTCAGACAGCATTTCATTCTATAAAAGAGAATAAGCATTCTGATTCCCCAAGCAGAAGATTAGATTTATAGAAAGAGAAGGGATGGAAAAGCAGAAACAAGCAACAAAAGCAGATCAGTCATTTCAAAGTCTCTTTATCTTTGTAAGGCTGGCTAGTAATCAAGAATAGGAAAATAGCTGATTAGTTTGCATCTGGGTACTTTTGTGTATAAAGACTAAGGCAAGGAATTTTATTACCATGGGAAATTTGTTATCTCTCTAATCCCTGATTTCTCCACAAGGTCAGATAAACAGCTTAGTTTCAGCTTGTTGTCAAGGGACTTGATCTCGATTTTTATTCTAGTTTGCTGTGGTCTAGTGTAGAAGCTTAGTCCAAAGTAATAGCCTCCTATAATTTCATTTGGGGTGTGTGTGTGTGTGTAGGTACACATGCAATGTGTGCAGGCTGTGTGTGGAGGACCAAGGAAGGCATTGGGTGTCTTCCTTGATCACATCTTTTGTTGAGGCACGTTTTTACTGAACCAGGAGCTCCCTGATTCCAAATAGTTTAGCTGGCCAGCTTGTCCAGGAGGTGGGGTATCCTCTTTCTTTGCCCCTGGAGTGCTGGAATTATAGGCAGCTGCCATACCTGCTGGGCTTTACATTGGTTTTGGACATTCAAACTCAGTGCTTTATCCACAGAGCCATCTCCTCAGCTCCATATCTCCTGTAGTTCTTATTTAACAATGTACTTTTGTCAGTTTCTCTCTAAAACAAGAATTCTATATTTTTGTTCCTTTCACACCTTCCCTGGACTTCTTCAGTAATAACATGCACTTACATAGTGTCCTAGTTTTCTGTTGCTGTGATAAAACACTGACCAAAAGTAACTTGGTGAGAAAAAGGTTTATTTCACCTTACACTTGCAGGTAATAGTTCATCACTGAGTGAAGTTGGGGCAAGAACTCAAGACAGGAGCCTGGAGTAGGAACTGAAGCACAGAACATAGAGGAAGCTGCTTACTAGCTTGCTTCCTGCGCCTTGTACAGTTACCTTTTTTTAAAAATGCAGTCTAGGCCCATCTGCCTAGGGATGGTACTGACTACAGGGTCCTCCTATGTCACTTAACAATCCAGAAAATGTCCCCATAGACACACCCTCAGGCCAGCCTGATAGAGGAAATTCCTCAGTTAAGGTGCCCTCTTTTCAGATTAGCCATCCACCACCAAGATTAGCCATCACACATGGTTTCAGAGATGCTGATGCTGATTATTATTTTGTGATAGCCTTGATTTGTTACACAGGCTGGTCTTTAACATGTGGGCTTAAGTGATCCTCCTACTTCAGCTTTCAGGGTAGCTAGCTCCACAGGCACATGCCCCTAGCACCCCAACATGGCTTCAGACATAAAGAATTAAGATAACAGTTTCTAATCCTGATGTTTCTTCTCTACTCCAGTTATGTATAATGGATGCTTCTGCTTTCTATCCTATAGACTCCTCAAGCTCAGAGAGACATGAGTTGACTTATTCTTCTGCAAGTTTTTTTTTTTCATTAACATAAACTTTGGGACTAGTTTAGTGGTTATCTAACAGAGCAACCAAACAGCAAACAGAAAAGTTTCCTTATAGTCCTTATATTCCATAAGCCTGCATAACTAAGTACTTAGTGGCCAAGTCTTGATTCTACCTTCCTAATGTTTCTTATTTTCATTACCACCTTACTTAGTTCTAGGCTTTCATTTCTTGCTTGGCTTATTCAAGTCAGCCTCAACTGTATCATTCTCCATACCTCAAATGCTCTTAATGTTGTTGCCATGCTTTGAAGATAGGCATCTAATTATTGCTATTGCTACTTAAAACCCTGTGTTTGCTCTGTGTTTTCTTTCAAAGTTTTCCTTCTGTATTCTGAGTCTTAAGGCCTTTGAAGATCTAGTCCTGTATTAGTTATATTTCTGTTGCTTTGATAAAACAGTAAAATCAAGGCCACTTATAGAATGAAGAATTTATTTGGCTTTCAGTTTCAGAGGAATAAGAGCCTAGCATGGTGGAGAGGCATGGTGACAGGAGCACCTGGAGCACTACCACATTCCACTCCCTGACCCCCATAGGCTCAAGACCATGTCATAATGCAAAATATATTTAGTCTAAACTTAAATATCCCTATAGTCTTTGACAGTCTCAATACTGGTCAAAAGTCCAAAGTCTCTTCTGAGACTCAAGGAAATCTCTTAACTGTAAGCCCCTGTAAAATCAAAAGACAGATTATTTACTTCCAACATGCAGTGGAATTGAATACACATTCCCATTCTAAAAGGGAGGAATGGGTGCATAGTGGGAAACATTGGACCAAAGCAAGATCAAAAACCAGCAGGGAAAACACCAAATCCAGTAGTTCCATGTTCAATTTCTGGGAATTCACTTCCAAAGGGTTTAGACAGTCCCTCCAGTTTTGTTTCCCACAGCATCTCTCTTTCTTGGGCTGGTACCACTCCTTGTATACAGCTCTCCTTGACAGACACCTCATGGCTCTGGCATTTTCAACATCTTGGGATCTCACCTGCCAACCAGGCTTTACCTTCATAGCTTCATGCAATAGTCTCTTAGGGCCTCTTGACCTCCCAAGGCCTTCTCATAGGGAAGACCCTGTTACATGCTGCCTGGCCTTAGCAGCTCTCTGAAACCTCAGAGGAAGAACCAATCCCCCTCACTCTTGCATCTTTTATGCCTTTAAATCCAGAAACATGTAAATAATACCACCAAGTTTGGCTTACACCTTGGGATGGACCTCAGCCAGCTTCATCCACATTACCAGAAACTTTTATCTGTTTGAGTTAGAAGCACAATACTCCTTATGTCTTTTCCTTTCACAGTGAAACTTAGCTGGGTGAAGTCTTGCTGAGAGTACTCTTTCCATTGTTGGAGTGCATATCTGGAGGCTTTTTAATGGTTCTAATCTCTTTATCAAAGAAAGCCTCTTCTTCAGCACACCATTGACTCCAACATTATTAACATTATTAAGAGAGCCACATTCCTAGTGCTCTCTTTCTCTCCAAACTATACATTCTGTATTTCTTTCTGCCCCATTTATTCTTTTTCATTATGAATCTGCATAAAACTCGCTATTAATAGCCATGCCTATGGATCTATATTAGGCTTTCTTGAAATTTCCTTCACCAGGAAATTAGTTCATTAGTTTAGACTTAAGCATCAGGCAAGTTCTTAGGCTTGGGACAAATAGCAGCCAGACTCTTTGCCAAAATATCCCATTGCCATTTAAGTCCTTGTCTCCATCTCCTTCTGGAACATCTTGAGCCAGGCCTCTCCTAGAATGATCCATTAAGCTCTATTTACATCATTCAACTGCTTTTCTAGTCCAAACTTCCAAAGTTTTCCACATTTCTTCAAAACCCACATGTCAGGTTCTTCAAAACCACAGCTCACTCTCTGTTATTTTTCTGTTGCTATGATAAAACACCACAACCAAGGCCACTTATAGAATGAGGAGTTCATTTGGCTTACAGTTCCAGAGGGGTAAGAGTCCATCATGGCAGGGAAGCGTGGTGATGGGAGGCAGCTGGAACAGAAAGCTGAG